AATGCATGGAAAAATCAATTCAAATAGCATGCAACACTCTTGAACCCAAATAATCGTAGTTTCTGAGAAAGATTTAATTTATGGAGTGGACCAGTGGAACTAAATAAAACTTTATTTAGAGCAAATCATATTCACTGCAATTTTATTACATAAAACAAGTGAAGCTAAACTGCAAGATTTCTAATTCTGTGTTCTGTGATTCTATCAACTTTACAGAATCTATCTTTATTATCTAGTCTGTTCCCAAATCAGATTCGTTATTATCGTATCATTTAATTTATTGTTCCCATAAAATTGACAAATTTATACTGTGCAATTCTCCTTATCGATAAACAATGATGTTAATTTGCCATCCCACACAGCTTAGCTACTTGACAAAATGTATATTGAAAAGTTCTTTCTGGTTCTTGACAACTTTTGAAATGGCCTCTTCATTAGATGCTGCCACAATACTGCGAATAGACTCGTTGAATTTATTTTGGCCTCAAGAGAAAGCAGTTTTTTCTATTGCAACAACAACTGTAACTGCAATACACACACACACACACACACAAACAGAGAGACACACGATCGCTGCGCATGCGCAACTCTGTTTTTTTTTTTTCTTCTTTTTTTGCAACAGCAGCAGCAGCGGCGTCTAGAATGCAATTTCTGTTTCTCTAGCGAAACGTTCGCTGTGCGCTTCTCACTGTCTATGTGTGTGTCTGTGTGTGTGTTTGAACTTTGAAAAGTGGGTGAATGTACAGTAATGTTTGCTGCATGCTGAATGCAACGCTAACACTGCTGCAGTTGCAGCAGTTGCTGCTGCTGCTGTTGCCAATTGGCAAAAAAATACGTGGCAAATTCGTGATGCACAAAGCGCTGGCGGCCCGCAGAATTGGGCACCGGGCACTTTAGAATGCATTTGTTAAGGTCTTGTCGCTAAAATGCAGCTGAGCCCAAAAGCTGCTGAAATATAAAATACAACTTCAAATAAGCTGAGGTTAAAGACGATTTTAATGCTTTTCAGCAACTCTTATCAGCTTATCAAGCTTGCAGCATTGAAGGCCACGCCGTTTCATAAATTGGCACACTTATGCAAAGTCAACGACTGACGCACACAAACACAGACACACACATACACAGCATAAATACATAAACAGCCGCCTAGTCAAGTCGTTGCCTGAATGCAAGAGCTTAGCGCGAGGCCGAAGAAAAAACAGTTAACTTGTTTCGCGCGCTGAGCCGAAAGCAAAGCTACGCTCACCATACGGCTCGGCTCTGTGTGTCTGCCTCTGTATGTGTGTGTGTGCTTGTTGTCTGTGTGTGTGTTGCGTTGCATAACTTTCATGCCAACGCAGCCAGCGACGAGTCGCCTCAAAGTTCATTCGCCTCGTGCACTCCATTCGCCTGCGCTTATACTCTCTTTCTCTCTTTCTCTCTCTCTCTCTCTCTCTCTCTCTCTCTTTCGCTATCTCCCTCTCTCTATCTCTTGTACACTCTTTGCTCCACACTATGCCTCTCAGCTGACTCTCTGCGGCCAACAGCTTCTTAGGCTTTGGCTTTTTCTTTTTGGCTTATATGCTGTTGTTGCTGTTGTTGTTGGTTTGATTGCTTTTCTCTTTTTTATTTTCAGAGCTTGGCTTTCGTTTGGGTTTCTTTGGCTCATCGCACTGACTGCAAACTTGGGTCTCTTGAAAAGGAATGTTCGCTGCTGTTTTTGTTGTTGCTGGCGACGTTTTTGGGTGAATGTGTATTTTTTGTTGTTTATCTGTTGGATACGTGTGCTTGAGAATGTTGTTGTTGTTGTTGTCACATCTCGGAAACAGAGACCCACAATATCTGTGCGTCGATCTGTGCAGCATTGTTTAAGGTCAGTTCTCTTACCTAACTTTGATTGCATTTTTCGTTTTGTTTTGTTGGTCAACCATTTTGGTTTTTTTTTATTTTTTTGGTAAATAGTCGGCTTTTTTAATTAGTTATGTTTGGGTTCGGTGACCGAGAGTTGAGTACTTATGATGAAACTTAAAGTGCCATGTGAAATGGCTGACTGCACTTCGAGGTGAGAAGATCAAACAATAATCAAGTTTCAAAAAATGGTATTCCGACTCCATGAAGACAACTGCAACTAATGCATTAGTGGAATTTTCGACTAAAAGATTGACAGGTGAAGAACTAGGAAGTTAATAATATACTCCAAATTGATAGTCAACTAGAAATTCTGTACTGTAATTTAAGATATTATTGTACATATAAGGAAATAATTTTTGAGTTTTCAATAAAACGACAACATATGCTATAAATATGCTGCAGTAAAGCACAAAGTTCCGCCCCAAATCTAGGTGGGCCTCACACACCCCACATTTGCATTTGACATTGTTTTCCACAAACAAAGAAATACTCAAAACTTGCATGTATTCAAATATTTATATGAATGTTTACATTACTCATTGTAAAATTGAAAATTTCAATAAATTTGCAATGCCCACGCAAAGTTTTCTAAGCGAATGCACGCGAAAAAAAACCATAAAAACCTACAAAAGCTCAAAATGCTTAGAACAAAGTGCATGCATGTCGCACACACACACACACACACAGACAAAACCAAATGCCAACAGCAACAACAATAACGCACAGCAGTGCAAATTGTGACGCCCCAAACAAAGCACAGAGCGAGAGAGCGAGAGAGCGAGAGAGCGAGTGCTGCAGAGCCCCCACGCTGTGAGCTGTGAGCGATAGAGCAGCGATGGCCGCGACAACGGCAACGACAACGACATTCAACTTGAACTTTTTGCGCACTCGCGCGCTCTCTCGTGTGTGTTCTCATTGGCTTCGGCTGCTCGCTGCATAGAAAATATAATCAAGATCAAGTTTCTTCCGGCATTTTTGCACAATAACAAAAATTAGAGCTTTTATTGTTGTTGTTGCTGTTGGCATACGAAGAGAGCGCAAGAGCGCAATTTAAGAGTGCGCAACGCTGCAGTAGCTTTTGCATATGTTGAGTATCTGAGCGAATGCATGCATGTATGTGTGTGTGTGTGAGTGTGTGTGTCTGTAAGTGTGTGTGCCTGTAAGTGTGCTTTATGGCAAGTGCATTTGTGTGTTTTTCAGTCAATCTGTTATGATGTCACTGCCAGCGACGCCTTTTTCCGTGCCTCCAAAACTTTTACAGCTTTTGCATATGAACTTTATATGAATTGCTATAGTTTTGTATTTTGGCATTTAACGATTTTACATGGCAATTTTGAAAAGTTTTCCATTTTTGCCAAAAACGCAACTCATTTTCACTCGCGTTGGAAAGCGCGTCTTCCACAAAATATGCATGCTACAATTGCACATGCACACACACACATATACAGATGTGTGTGTGTGCTTGGATGTGTGTGCGATTCTTGGAACACGACGAAAACGTTGCAGCGCCAACAACAAGTTGCAGCAGCAGCAGCAACAAAAACAAGTGCAACAGCAGCAGCGTCATTGTTGCAAGCAATGAACTCGATTTTGTTTTCATTGCCGCTGAATTTCTAAAACGCAGCTAATTAGTCGAGAGTGTTTGAGTTGTGCTTGTTGTTGCCGTTGTTGTTGGCTACGCAGTCGTCGCTTCTTTAGCTGTGTTCCACTTTTCTGGCAGTTTTCCACTTTTCCTTCAGTCACCGCAACAGATTTCACACGCGGCCATGCAATTCATCATAAAAATTATTGTTAACTGCAGTCAATTGGCCAGCCGAGCAAGCAGATAAGGGGTGTGGCAGTATAAGATGCAAGATGGTTGCCTAAAACAAAAACAAAAAAAAAGCGCCAAATGAAAATAAGTTTTTCCAAGTCGCCAAGGCGCGCCTTGTGTGTGTTTGTTTAAATAAAATGAAAGTTTTGCGCGCCAATCTTTGACACACATATAAGGCAGTCAGTCAGTCAGTCATGTAGTCAATCAGTCAGTTAGGCAGTCAGTCAGTCAGACGTGGCGGCAGACTTTGCTTAGCGGCTTGCAGGCCTAACTGCAAAACTTTGCAACGGTCGTTGCCGTTTCATTTCTCGTTGTGATTTCATTTTCTAATGTTGTCGCCTTCTCGTATTCGTATTCGATATTGTTTTCTACTTACACTGGATTAAGTTAGATTTTATTTTTATTTTTTTTTTCTGCTTTGTCTGGGCCAAAGATGGTCGCATGAAAAGTAAGAAAAGCCCGCTCAAAAAAATAAAATCAAGCATACGCGGCTTATGACGAGACTCATCTGTTAAAAGTGAAATAGCCAAAGTTGCCCCTACAAATTGTGTGTCTTTGTGCGTGTGTGCGTGTATACGTGTGCGTGTGTGTGTGTGTGAGCAACGAAATGGTAAATGGTGAAAAGTAAAAGAGAGTCGCGCAGAGCAGCGAAAGGGAGCGCAACTCGGGAGCCGCTGAACAGTTGATGGCACCAAAGCGCTTCACTTTTTTTTATTTTTGTCGACAGTTCAACAAACTTTTTGGGCAACAGCTTAGAAAAAACTGTGGGTCAATAAACTATACAAGCCACAATGATGATGATGATCTGCTGCTGCTGCTGATGATTATGATGATGATGGTAATGCTGCCGTGGCTTTTGTTTAAGATACACGCATATAAAATACCCGACACAAGAGGTCAATGGCAGACGCACTCGAAATGCCTATGAATTTTAAGAAAGGCATTGTAATGAAATGGTTTGCCTAACAATAAGCTAAACAAGCAGATGAATTCGCCTAAGGCGGGGCTCCACTTGGCAATACAATATACCCAAACATATATATTATGCATGTAAAGAAAAGTTCTTAGGGGATCATTGAATCAGAATTGATTAACTTCAGCATTTATGTTCAGCATTTATTGAATTTAAGAATACCACTTTTGTTTACTTTCAAAATTAACAGTCAAATTTCCTAACGAGCGCCACCTAGAGTGCATGCATGCAAACAATACCACCATCAAGCAGCGGCATTCAAAGTATGGCAACTCCGCGCATGTCGACCAACCGCCACAATGCAAACAATTATCGATTTAGAATCGATGCCTAGAAGCACGCAGCCTCATCAAAGAATCGCCAGAAATAAACACAACAAATAATTAATAATTTAAAATTATAAAAATATGAGCTCGCCAACAAGTAAAAATGTCAGTGAGACGAACAACAATAGCAACAAGCCAAAGAAGTCGACCAAAACCAACTCGAATGCCAAGGGCGGCACAATGGACACACGCAGTGAATTGGCGGACTTAATCAAGAAGAAGGCAGAAACATCGGTAAACAAACTAACAAACAAATGATAATTGCAAAGTACATAATTTTATGATATATATAACGTAGGAACAACTAGCCAATCTGGAGCGACAGATATACGCATTTGAGGGCTCCTACTTGGAGGACACACAGCTGTGCGGCAATATAATACGCGGCTGGGAACGCTATCTCACCTCGAACAAGGCAACAAATTCGAAGGCAGACAAACGCAATCGCAAATTCAAAGATGCGGAACGTTTGTTCTCCAAGTCCAGCATTACCTCCATGGCTATTTGTAATCGTGAGTAGTACACAGTAATTATAGCTCCCAACTCCACTCAACTGATCTTTAATTGCAATACAGCTGAACGCGCCAGTGAATCGGATTCCATAACCAATGAGGACTCCAGCGACAACCAGATCTCAATTAATCAGAACACAACCACTGCACACGATGGTGCAACAACCATCAAGTCGCAGGATGAAAAGGGTAAGGCGTTGCAAGAGGAATGGGACAAAATCAGTGTAACTGATTGCAGATAATGACGACGATGATAAATCGGTGCTTTAATCAAATTGCAGCAACCAAAATTAAAGAAGTCAATATTAGTTTAAGTTAACTTAAGTAGTGATCGATCAGGTTTAGCATGTAAAGTAAAAATCTCTCTGGCTTAAATTAATGTCTCGTCTGCAACTTTTATAGATTCGCCGTCCCATCGCAGTGAGGAGCGTGCAAGTGCAGCTGGTGCCAGCAACAGCAACAAGGATCTGCCCAGCACACCAACCACGAACACAAAGAGCAAACTATCATCGAGCTCGAGTGCGACGGCCAAAAAGAGCGGACATATCAATAAGAAAATCAGACATCGCTAATGTAATAATAAAGTACAAAAGTGTTTTAATCGTGTTTTTGCGTTGCACTTGTAAAATAAGATGAATAAATTACATTAATATACTTATAGAAATTCATCTTTTATTACAATTATTTTTCTAATACTACGCATTATATTTAATCGCTAATCGCATATTTATATTTGTATGGAAGAAATTCAATCAATCAACTATATATTTAATACGGCAACAGAATTTGGAACGATTATTTTCTCATTTCTTCCCCTTTTCCGGCCGATTAAATATGCCCAATATTTTGCCCCGTGTCATTTCCTTGGACTCCCGCAGACCAAGTTGATAGATCTCGTCCTGCATCGATTTGATCTTTTCCAACAGTTGATCGGGTGTCAGCGTCATCAACTCTGAAATCGATTATCTATCGTTAGAATCATCATTTAAGAGAATCTTGAGCTGATGTTACGATTAATTTTGTCCATGTCTTCTTTGGTCATGTTCGGTGTACGATCAACGTTTGGCGTGTGTATCGGTGTATGACTCATGGTTACGAAATCGTTGATGCCCGGAAACCTTTCCGGCCACTGTTCCGGCGATTCGCGCAGCGTTTCCATCGAAATCAGCTCCTCCTCTTTGGCGCTCTGCGCCTTCTCCATTTTGGCGTAGCCCGTTGATTCTGCTCTTCCGGTATCCTCCATATCCGAATTGGGAATTGTCTCCGGTGAGAATCTTTCAACACCGGGCTCGGTATTGCTCATGATGGCGTAGATTTGCTGGTCGTTTATTATATTCGGTTAAATTAATTGAATTATTTAGTTAAAAAGGCGTTTTTATTAATAACCCGTGCAATGTGACCGCATTTCTTCAACTAGCTGAGTTTTCTGTTAGATTGTAGCTCCAAAATAGATTCGTTCGAACTAGTTCCGAATGTATCTATCGATAAAACCAGGCTTAGATTTTGTTGAAAAGTCGACTTATTTACTTTGAATTATTCAGATTATATTGCTAAAGGGTATATAGCTATTGAATATATATATGATGTCTGAACATATTAATAATTGAAAACATTTCCCTTATCGATATAGTTATCGATACAGCATTACTAATAAAAAAAATGCTAACCAACACTACTCTAATCGAGGCTATCAAAAATATTTCGTTTTAATTCTTCCATTTCGTTCAACAAAATAAATAAATACCTTGGAGAGAAGCGTCTATTGGCCAGCAGCAGGCACAGCTAAAGATCGAGCACAAAACCAAGTTCAGCAATGGCCACGTCAAAGGCCTTACTAATTTGTTTATGTCTGTTCGCCAGTAGCTGCTACGTGTCGGTGTCGGCAGACGAGCACAATCATAAGGTATTTTTTTGTATTTGTGACAGCTGTCTCTGTCTGTATGCATTCTGATTTGTAACTTTAATGCACCCACACACATTGTTTGTTTTTTTTTTTTAATGTACAGTACAATGACCGTGAGGAGGTTGTCCTGTGGATGAACACAGTGGGTCCATATCACAATCGACAGGAGACCTATGCGTATTTCTCGCTGCCCTTCTGCAGTGGTGCCAAGTCGGGCATCTCTCATTACCATGAGACGCTCAGCGAGGCGCTGCAAGGCGTTGAACTGGAGTTCAGCGGCTACGAGATGGAATTCAAAGTGGATGTGCAACGGACGGTCATCTGCATGGTGAAGCTGTCCGAGGAGAACGTGAAGGCGTTCAAATATGCTGTGATGAACGAGTATTGGTATCAGATGTATATCGATGGGTTGCCCATTTGGGGCAAGGTCGGTGAACGGGATGAGAATGATGGGAAGTATTATATACACACGCACAAGAAGTTCGACATTGGCTACAATGGCCAGCAAATTGTGGACATTACGCTGACAACAGAAATGCGCGAAGAACTGAAGACGGATGCCAAAATCAAGTTCTCCTACGAGGTCAACTGGAAGCCAAACAAAGTTGAGTTCAAGAATCGCTTCGATAAGTATCTGGATCCAAACTTCTTTCAGCACAGAGTAAGTCTAGCAATCTGATTTGATGTCGGTAATTGTATCGTGTTTATTGTCTTTGTAGATACATTGGTTTAGCATCTTCAATAGCTTTATGATGGTCATATTCTTGGTGGGTCTAGTTTCAATGATATTGATGCGTACGCTGCGCAAGGATTATGCACGCTACAGCAAGGACGAGGAGGTGGATGACATGGAACGCGATTTGGGCGATGAGTACGGCTGGAAACAGGTACATGGCGATGTCTTTCGCACGCCACCCAGTGCACTTATTTTCTCGGCGCTCGTTGGCGCCGGCTATCAGCTTATCTCAGTGGTGTTTTGTGTCATCATGTTTGCCATTGTCGGCGAACTGTATACGGAGTGAGTTAATATCTAAACTACTATTGAAACCGTCAATATATCGTTTGCTTTGTAGACGTGGCTCAATGTTATCTACGGCGATATTCGTTTATGCTGCCACATCACCCATCAATGGGTATTTTGGTGGATCACTTTACGCTCGACTGGGCGGTCGCTTGTGGATACGACAGATGCTTGCTTCTGCTTTCGCGGTGCCTGCCGCTGTCTGTGGCACTGCGTTCTTTATCAACTTTATTGCCATTGGCTATCATGCATCGCGAGCCATTCCCTTTGGCACAATGGTTGCAGTGACCTGCATTTGCCTGTTTGTCATCTTGCCATTGACGCTCGTTGGCACAGTGGTCGGACGTAATTTGGATGGCCAACCGGATTTCCCCTGCCGCGTTAATGCTGTACCCAGACCCATACCAGAGAAGAAATGGTATATGGAACCATTGATCATTGTGCTGCTGGGCGGCGTGCTTCCCTTTGGTTCCATTTTCATTGAAATGTATGATGAACTTCACGCAATTATCTATGTATTTTGATTTTTTATTAATTCTGTTTTCGATTTTGGCTTACAGGTACTTTATCTTCACTTCGTTCTGGGCGTACAAAATCTATTATGTCTATGGATTCATGTTACTTGTGTTTACCATTTTGACTGTGGTCACCGTTTGTGTTACGATTGTGTGCACATATTTCCTACTGAATGCCGAGGATTATCGGTGGCAGTGGACGAGTTTCATGGCTGCCGGCTCCACTTCCATTTACGTATATGCATACTCCTTTTACTACTTCTTCTTTAAGACCAAGTATGTGAACGTTAGCTTGACTATTGCTTATTTGTTTTTTTTATTTTTAATATGGCTTTATCTTGTTTTTGCAGAATGTTTGGTCTATTCCAAACGGCTTTCTATTTTGGCTACATGGCATTGTTCAGTGGCGCCTTGGGCATCATTTGCGGCACCGTCGGCTATGTGGGCACGAATCTGTTCGTGCGCAAAATCTATTCCAATGTGAAAATAGACTAAGATCGCGCGTTCGTTGAATCCAAACTCCAGTCCCCTAACCATTTACAATTGTATTTATTGTGTAGTCTTTTAGTTAACTCCCTTTCTGTTTATATAATCCTTTTGTTCCATTGTCAATGCTCCCACAATTTTTTCATATCGGTGTGAATTAAATAACAAAACAAAAATCAAAAAGGAAAACTAACCAAGTCAAAGAGCTCGCGCCAATGATAGCAAACAGCCGAAAAATCACCCCTCATCTGATATATGTATATAAGTATAAATATATGGCACATATACTATGTATTTGTATGTATTTGTGTGCCCTGTATGTGTTTATGCGTGTGTGCAGCAGATTTATTGTAATATCATGAATGCCTAGAAACTTATCAAATCTATGCAATTGCAAATGTGACTTCAAATTGTTTGCGCCAATTAAGTTTATATACATTGCAGAAATGTGCTGATTAGCAATAGTCGATAATATTATATTAATAAAGTCAACATAAAAAACGACTTTAATTCTTGCATTATTTTAAGAAAAATGAAATAACCAACCAAAACGGAAAACTTCAGATCTCTAACCAAAGCATAATGTTTACCTTGATTAGATTGTGGAACAACTATCAATTGTCAGTTTGACATATTGTAATGTGTTCAAAGTTCGCGGCATTGACTTCTTTTATACTATACCCGAGGCAGTTGCCGCAACACATGAATTGGCAATTCATAGGAAGGCAGTTGATCAACTTTTAGCAACTCAAAATTAAGTTTTGTTTCGCGTTGCTAATCTATTTTTACTGGTATTTATATTTAATTTGCTTAATGTGAACCAGAAAAAAGTAAATTTGAGGCATGCTCCGGCAGTACGCCAAATATGAATCCCATTTTTTTCTTTTTAAATGTAGCTTATATTTGATGAACATAAAGAATGAATGGAAAATACAATGCATAAAACGAAAATTTAAATCAGAAGAGTCTTAAACATAAGTACATAGAACAATAAGCATACATTTTAAACTTTAAAAGTAACGGGCACATTAATACGTTCATTTTCCATGGACACCTCGATGAGGACTTGCATTTGTTTCTTAAGTACTTCACGCCGCGGTGTACGCAGTGGCCGGACCACAACCTCCACTTGACCACCATCGGGCGCCACATAACATTCGCTGGGTGAGAACTGCAGCAGGTGCGCCACATTGCAACTAATCTCGAAATATTGACGTGACCTGAAGCTGTTCCTGATGCAAAACTTTGTGCCATCTATTGCATTAAGGCTGCCGTTCGATAAATTCAATTCAATTGCTGCTGGCTTCACCGACCAGTTACGCTCCCGGTCCAGCGGCTGCTGCTCAATGGCCGATGTTGTGTCCGCCTCATGCAGTTCATCCACTGGCTCGAGCATGTTGCTGGGCGTCGGCGAATTGGCCGCGCAAACAGTGCGAAACAAGACGGTGTCCTCGGCATCTGGCAAACACAGCTGCGACGTGTCAGCGGATTCGTCAAAGTCCCTATTGAGTGTAAGGGCCACATCAATGATACGCACCACTGTCACCAGATCGAGTATAAATTCTGGCGGTTCATTCAGCATGGAAATGCTGCGTATCGGCTGCTCACTAGGAAAACCGCACAGAATGTTATCCAGCATGGAGGAGGTCAACTGCTCCCTTTGATCGCCCGTCATGCGCTCGACGAGGGCACGCATTCGCTGTCTGTTGGGTTCGTCGCCACAAAAGATGCGCATATTGGCCAGGGTCAGTACCTGGGATGTCTTCTTCAGTATGTTCTTTATATCCTCGCGACTCGGCCGGAACACAATTTGCACCACAGTCTCACTGTGCGGCGGCATGATGATCTTGCTGGGACGCACCTCGAAGGCGGCGTTGAGGCGCGGCTTGAGGAAAACCGTCGAGTCAACTGTGATGCCCGCAAACGCTGTCAACGGTCCCTTGTTATAGAACTTGAAGTTGGCAGTCAGCGGACCCGAGGCCAAATCGCATACATTGCCAACGGTTAGGAAGCTGGCGCCGACCGGTCCCTTAAGCAGTCCCTGAATCGTTATAGATGCATTGCCACCAAACCCATAGAGTGGGATCTCCATCCCAGGCTGCTGACAGTTGTTGGCGCCAAAAGGCGCGTAGAATGAAAGCGATCCAATGGCACCACCGCTGACCGTCGGACAGAAATTGATGCCAATGGTGCGGCATTCCATGGACTGCAGTGTGAGACTGTTGGTATCACCGCTCACCAGCTGAAAACCCGGTCCCTGTATGCTCAAACGCACCACCAGACGCTTGTCGCTGGTGTTCTTGATCTGCATGGATTTGCGGACATCTGTGCGCAACTTGGTGCTGCCCCAGCACAGACTGGTGTGGGTCACCTTCAGGGGCAGTAGTTTGCCATCGCGATGACTGAACTCGCTGGAGTTCGAGCAGCGCGACATGCTACGCGGAGCCAACCCATTGGTGCCCTTGCGCAAGGCATTGCAGCCACTCGTTGAGCTGGCCTCGCTGGCTGCCGGGGATGTGTGGGCTCTGCGTGCCGCGCCAGAGCCCACGAGCAGCTGTCGTCGCTCCGAGCTCGTTGTGCTGTCCAGCAGCGGCGAGGACAGACAGCTGCGTGGTGATGTTAGCGGCGACACATGTCGCACACTGGCAACTGAAACGCCAGATTTCACCAGATTCGGTGAGATGCCAAAGTCACATTCGGTGGACGAAGGCACAGCATCGCAGCCATCCAGGCGTGTGGAACAGAACGAATTGGGATTGTGCACAGTTTGCACTGTCAGGTTGCGCTTCTTGTTCACCGGTGTCTTGTCCTCATCCGTCTCCCTATCCGCATCCTCATCGGTGCTGGCCAACGGCTGCACACCGTCACTGCTCGTTGGGCTCGCGTTTCTCTGCGAGAGTGGAGATTTGCGTACACGCCTGCCCAGCGACTTCACCGGTGTCGATGGCCATTCATCAATATCTGCATCATTTTCCTCGCTGGCTGTCACTAGTATACTTGGCTGGCCTTGAATGTAGTCCGCCAGCGCACTCAGCGGCTGACGCTTAGATGTGGAAGCTATGCTCTGCTGCATTTGCTGGAAGTCCGTCGAATTCAATACGGAATCGGTGAAGCTCATAGTGTCCGCTAAATTTGACTTGGATCGAGATTTGCACAGCGTATCATCTCCGGTCGCGTTCTCTTTGTCTTCATCGTCGTTCTCGTCGCCGTAATTGCCACGCACCCGCAACCTTTGGACTACACTGCCAACGGATACGTCCGAATTCATGTCCAGATTGCCTGTTGTGAAGACAAAAGTTATTTAAAGCTCTTGCATAGTTATGGATACTAACTCACGTAAGGCTTCATCGATGGCCGACAAGCTGAGAAGCTCGGAGCTGGTTGGCGGCTTCTTCGCATCGGTCTGCAGAGCCTGGTTGAACTTCTCCTGATGCATCTTCTTCATGAGATTGCGCTCCAGCTTGGCGCTGGCTTCGACCTTTGTATAGGTTTTGTTATCGGGCAGTGGCGTTTTCTCGCCAATGCTGCTTGCCATCGTCTGCTGGTCAACAGCAGCTTCGCCTGGTTGCATCTGGATAAAAAATTCTCTGCCTCCAATAAACGATATGTTCTCCGAGCGCAACTGGAAGTAGTTGCCCAACGAAAAATCAGGATCACCAGCAATGACAGAGCTGCAAGAGATTGGATTGTCATATTTGTTGCTTCATCCAGCGCATTATGCTACTTACTTGGACACTGAGGTCTCGATTTCGGGCGTTTGTGGCGGCGCAGCAATCTTTTGCAATGCCTGTTTGCTGAGCGTTGCCGCTGGCACAGCGGCAAATTCCTCCGCCCACGATATCTCACCCATCACCAGTTTGGACTGCATCAGTTCGGCGGGTGTGAAGCTCTCGTCAGAGCCCTGACCGGCCATGGAGCCAAATGAAATGCCACCACCACCATTAAGGCTCATGTTGCTCATGTCCGCAGTGCGGGGTAAACTGCGCGAGCAACTGAAGGAATCGATTAGACTGCTGTTGCTTGTGTGTTGACTGCCTAGAACTGGCACGTTCTCCAACCGCTTGGCATATTGCACACGAGCTTTCTCCACGAATGAGGACTTCAGTATGTCGGCCACAGAGATTTGACTGCCATTCTTCGATGACAAGGATTCATTTTTATTACTTCGGCACAGTGTCGAGCGGCCCGTAATCTCACCCGGCTCGAAGAATACATGTGAGCCCGTTGGTGGAACCGTTGGTGGAGCCGCTGGTGTTGCCATGAATAAGGAGATGCTGGAGTTTAGATCGATGGTCTCCTCAGTAATCAAATCAGATATGTTTGTGCCATTGGATGCAATACTTGACCGACTGGTGGCTACAGAAAAAGAATGCACACAATTGCATGTGTTGTCATACATAATGAGCAATAATTCTCACTTACATCTGGGCTTGTCGCAGCCCCTCTCTAGCGATGTCATCACATGACTGGAACGTGGTCGTGGTTTCTCCAGAGTCTCCAATGCCTTTAATCTTCCCGCCTGAAATTTCAAAGCGCGCCTTTTTAAAGACCAACAAAATAATATACATATACATAAATGTACATGTGTATGTGCTCATACCTTAAGTCGTTCATGGACATTTGATTTTTCTCGGCTCGAATTACTACCACTAGACAAATCTCCAAAAACTAAATACATATACAGAAATATGAAATAAATTCGAATTTGGAGCAGCTGATCATAAACATATTACTTACCTTTAAGATTCTCCATGCTCAGAATGCCTAACGAATATTGGTCCTTCTGGCTGCTGTTGCTGTTACGGTTTTTAGCACTTTTATCCATTTTGCACAGTCCAAATAAAACAATTAACACATAAAACAATAATTGCTGCAAGTAATCAGAAAACGCGCGTCGTTGGCATTCAAAATGGTTCTCGTGACTCACGACGCGACTTTGCTTGAAACTGCCCACACTTCTTAATGTGTTATCGATATTAACAATATTTGATCGAAAATGTTCAACTAATTTTCGAAAATTTCATTTGCTTTACGAAGTAGGCGTAGTGTAAAGCATTAAATGTTTATACTAAATATTATTTCATTGGTGAACACTGGAAAGTTTTGTAACAATTTTGAGTGAAATCAGATTTTCATTAATTGCAGCCCTGTCAGTTTCGAAACGTGGTTAACGTATTGTTATTCAGCCCTAGTGCAAAACACATTTTCGCAAATTCGCCAGAAGTCGTTTTGTGCGCTCGTGCTTCGGCGGCATTAAATACTTACTCCTTGATTTTGCTGAAGTGGCCAATTGATTTAATAGAACAGCATTAATATGGAGCCTTTGCTCGAGCAAATAATCAACGGTCTGCTGTGCACGGACACTCAACGCATTCGCGAGGTAAGATTAACCGGCATTTTACAGGTTTTGCTAACAAAAGTGGGTCCTTTGACAAGGGCGACGCCTTTTTTGACGCTGTCAGTTCAAATTGTCTCCATTTTACTTTTATTTCACATATCCAAATGGGAAGTTTTCATTATTTCCAAAGAGAATTTTAAACAAATAAGCATAATGTGTGCATAAGTGTATGTAATTCTTATACAAGCATAGTTATTCGCATTGACAAATTGCGATACATACAAACTTTTAAATGAGTACTTTTTTTTTATGAGATTTGTCTCGTCAATTCAGAGCACGTTGTTGGCATACACATACACGAACAGTTACACTTATACATATGTGTCAGCCGGCTATTAATTAATTCATGTGCAAACTCATCAAAATCATGTATACATATATATTATATTCTTGTTGCTAGGCCACCAATGAGCTAGCCAAGGCCCACGAAAATCCGGCCACGTTGCCTGCCCTGTGTCAGATTGTGGTGTCCAAGCGTGAGCCGCAAGTGCGCCAATTTGCCGCTGTGCTGCTGAACAAGCGGCTCCAGAAACTCCGAAACTGGCAGATGGTGCCGGCCGAGCAAAAGGAAAGGTGCGTGACCATCAAATACAGTCTTCAAATGCAAATTGTTGAGATTTCCAATTAATAAATTGCAGCATTAAGACGGGCATGCTCCAGGCAATGATAGCTGAACAGGAAAAATCGGTAAAGAATGCAATTGCTCAGTTAATTGGGTCACTGGTGCGGCACGAGGAGGAGAAGAAGGACTCATGGCTGGCTGAACTGTTGAACTTCACCTACAGCCATTGTAGTGTTGATGATCCCAAGGAGAGCGAGCTGGGATCCTCGATCTTTGCCACACTGATCGATGCTGCACCCGATCAGTTTATCAGTCACATGGACTCAATTTGCCAAATGTGTGCCGCTGTGCTTATGGCCGCCGAGGCAAAGGGAGACTTAGCCACGCCCACCGTCGTTAACATAACAATGGGAATGGTCTCGCTGATGCCCTTTGTGCCCGGCCACGCAAGCGCCGAGCAAACGGTGATAAAACTATTGCCACTAATTATCAAGACAGTTTCTGCGTTTGCCCAGAAAGGTGACGCACATGAGTTCTCGCTAGTTTTCGATGTCATCGACAACATTGCCGAATATGCACCGAAACTGCTTAATAACAATGTGAAGCAGTTGGTCGAGTTCTGTCTGGAGACGGCCAACAATAAGCAGATTGATGATTCGATTCGTGTTCAGGTGCTCACATTTATTGGTCGTGTGGCACGCATCAAGAAGAAGGTGATTGTCAAACAGAAGCTGCTTGAGCCCATATTGGCCGTTATCTTTGAAATGATGTGCGTCGAAACTGATTTGGAAGATGGTAAGTGATGGTTTCTCCATTCTCCTTTAATATTCCTCTGTATATGATAATCGATTTTTTTGCCTTCAGATGAATACTTTTCGGAAAGCAATCATCCCGTGACATCGGCAACTCAAACACTTGATTTGCTGGCCATCAATATGTCACCGGAAAAGCTCATACCACCAATGCTGCAGTTGCTCGAGCCGGCATTGCAGAATCCTGACCCATTGCGTCGTCGTGCCGCATTCCTGTGCATCGCTGTCATTGCCGAGGGCTGTGCAGAGGCTATTTGTAACAAGTATTTGGAAGTAATGCTGAGCATCATCAAGAGCGGCATTGTCGACAGTGAGACACCGGTGCGCGCTGTCGCCTTCTATGCCCTGGGCCAGTTCTCCGAGCATCTGCAGCCAGAAATAACGAAGTTTGCGTCCCAGATTCTGCCAGTCCTATTTGATTTTCTACATCAGTTGGTTGTTGAGCTAAAGGTAACATTTTCCATCGCCATTGCAACGAGAAGTGGAATTTCCCTTTCTCTCTATCATCCCTCTATCTGAATTTCACTACATATTTATTATCTTATTTTGTTTGTGCTGCGTCCAAAAAGGCTGAGCAAAACAGCAAAGGGAACGGCAACGGTCCGAAATCTTTACCGGGCAAAGATACCATTCAATATATAAATCAGCTGCAAATCAAACGCAAATCAGTTCTCACCAAATACAGGGTCCTCATATTTTCTCAATTCAAAATTTCGTAGTTCTTATCAAAACTGTTTTACACATTTCACCTTACTGTAAATGTTTTGCCTGTGGGTTCGATTTTTTTTGTTACCTTTTGTATGTCGTATTTTCCGCAACCTAGTTAAGATTCCTTCTATCCCAGATGCTTGGTATATATTCTTTGAATTCTCTGTCTAACGCAAAAGTATATTTTAATGTGTCGTAAACCGAGTTTGAGAGTGATTTGAATTTGAAAACAACTTGGTTAGAATCCAATTGAGGAATCCTTGTTTTGAGGGACCAGTTACTAAGGGAATTGGGTATCCCTAGACCCAATAATCTCCATGCTCTACTTAAAAATATATATAATTTGAGGTACTATTAATAGTAATATGATATGAATCAATGAAAATCTATTAAGCATCAGGTATAAGGGAAAAGGACACAAGTAGTTACGGAGAGCACTTTTTTTTTGCAGCATGCGCACTTAATAATGGCACACATTTTCTATCCATACTAAACCAATATTAACTTGTTTATTAACTTTTACAGCTGGGCCACCCGGAACCGAAGCACACTCAACGTATGTTCTATGCTTTGGAGACGTACTGCCAGAATCTGGAGGAGGACATTGTTCCCCATTTGCCGATACTGATGGAATGGTAAGGAATATTATTTGATTTTATTCCCTCACTCAACACACATGTTATTATTTTTTTGCAGTCTATTCGAGACGCTGGATCCCACGTATTCGGCGCATTTGCGTGTGATGTCTCTGTCGGCCATCTCAGCGGTTGCTGTCGCCGCCAAGGAGCATTTGATGCCATATTTTCCCAAAATTGTTACCATACTCCAGGTGTATTTGGTCAAGGAGTGCGCCGAGGATTTGACAGAGTTGCGCAACGAGGCAATCGATACACTAGCATCCATTTCACGTGTCGTGGGCAAAGAAAACTTTCTGCCCATTGCCAATGATACGATGGCCTATTGCCTGATGATGCTGGAGGAGGGGCCAAATGATCCAGATCTTAGGCGTGCTATTTACAATCTAACAGGTGCCCTGTCCATTGTGGTCAACGAGAGCATGTCGAGCGTGTTCCCCAAGATCATGGATCGCGTTATAGAAACGGTCATTTCTTCGGAGGACACAGTCCCAATTTTAAATGCCGCTGTCCCGAAACACATTTTCTTCGATGAGAACGGAGACAGAAAGGATGTTGAGAATGACATTGACTTGGACAACACAGATGACGAAGATGACAATGATGATGATGAGTATCAGGTGGAAAATGATTATTTGTACGAAAAGGAGGAAGCCATTGTTGCCCTCAAAGATTTTGCCGCTAACACGGGCACCGCCTTTGTTCCCTATCTGCAAATGGCCTTTGAGAACGTGTATAAGGTTATCGATCATCCGCATGAGATCATACGCAAGGTTGCCATCGAGGCAATCTCTGCGTTCGTAATTGCTTTGCACAAAATGGGCGACGTCGATGGTGTGACACGCGCCTGCTCGGTTGTCATGCCCAAATTTGCACAGATCATGCGTGAAGATGAGGATCAAAGTGTCGTCATCCATTTGCTGGACGTACAAGGCGAACTATTCAATGCAGTGGGACGTCCAGCAGTGCCCACGCAGGTGATTGCCGATCAGATCTTTGCCTGCATCAGAGATGTGCTAAACACCAAAATGGCTTGCCAGTTTACTGAGCAAGGCGGTGGCGGTGACGAGGAAGACACCGAGGACAGTGAGTCTGATGAAATGCTACTCGAGGGTGCCGGTAATCTGTTCCCGGCATTTGGCAAAGCGCTCACTCCGGAAATATTCTCCATGTACTTTGGACGTCTCTGTCAGTACTACTTGACCAAGCTGGTATGTCTGGTTATAACTTGACCAATCTAGAAAGCCAAACCAAATTTGTATTCCATTATAGAGCAAGGCAAAGCGAAGTGAAGCGTCCTCGCAGCGCAGTTTTGTGTATGGCGCACTAGCCGAATCCTTCGCCTCTCTGGGCAACTGTGTGGTCACATACTTTGATACGCTGTGCCCCATCTTTATTGCCGGCGTAACCGATCCCGATCCAATGGCTCGCCAGAACTGTTACTTTGGGCTGGGCGAGCTTGTTTTGTTTGCCGAGGAGAAGTCATTTGAGTAAGTCGCTAGCAGATCGCTATGCATTAACATTAATTATTAACGAGCTCGCTTTCGCACAGATCTTTTCAGGTTATTTTGCAAGCTCTTTCGAGTGCCATTGCCTCGGAGACACAAGCATCGGCCTTGGACAACATTTGCGGAGCAGTTGCCCGATTAATTGTTACCAATTACAATATGGTGCCGCTTGCGCAAGTTTTGCCAGTTTTTCTCTCGCATTTGCCACTTCGCGAAGATACGCCTGAGAACGATATGGTGAACAGAGCCTTCCGCGTTCTTTACATGCATGCCCGTGAAGCCATTGTGGACCATCTGGAACAGATCCTCGCAATCACCATCGATGTATTATACAAGAAGCAAATGCCCGACGAAGAGAGCAAAGTCAACGCAATTGCCCTCGTCAAGGATATACGCGAGCAATATGCGGACAAGTTCAACAATGTGGCGAACTCAAATCCGGAAGTCTACGCCTTCCTCCAGACTCTGTAAGCCTCGCACGGCAACCAGTTAAGCATCATCTATTGGCCGTGACAAAATAGTTACCCACACAATTATAAGTCGCACACACAATTTGATCGTGAAGATAACAAACGCAACTTGATGAATTCCAATGCATTCAAGAGAAAACAAAAACTAAAACCGAAATTACATATTTGAAATGAGTTTCCCAGTGAAGTCAAAATTTTCTAACATTGTTATTGCCCCAATAAATGGAATGTATGAATAGCGAATAGTCTGAAATAAATATACGAAATCTAAACGAATAGGCATAAAATACGAGTCTCGATATTTCAAATATTTATTGTTATGCTCTTTTTTTTTGTATAAACATAATTTATAAGCAATTTTAAGGTAGTGGTAATCATCACAATTCTGTTTCCGAATTTACAAGATAGTTTTAAAAAAGTATTTGAGTATTTCTACCAGTGCGCATTGCGCATAGCAACCACTTCCTGGAGAATGTCAGCATGATTGGCATGCAGTTTGAGGTTTGCATCGACATCGGTCCAGCGGACGTTTGTGGCATCATCACCAGCATTCAGTTGCAGCTGGCCAACTTTTGTGCCCTCCTCGTCATGGAAATTCAGTGCAGTTGTCTCCATCCAAGCATTGTCGGTATTACGAAAATCATCCACGTAACCACTGTACACATGGACGCCACCCTCTTTGAAGAACTGCTCCACCATGTTGCCCTTATCGGCGAAATTGAGCGCCTCCTCGGTGAACTCGCGCTTCAGCGTGACGCTCACATTCTCACCGGGATCGACCATGCCGCCTGGAATGGCCCACAATTTGTTATCAGAACGCTGTATGGCCACCATTTGGAGAATTTTTCTACGGAAATACGAAGAGGAGTATGAGATCTGTATTAAATACAGCATATTCAACTACACTTACTTTCCGCTGGTTTTGTGCCACACAAACTCAGCTTTATCATCGCGTTTCCAGCGTGTGACTATTGGATCCGCTGCATGATTGGGACCCCAGCGTCCCAGCAAGCCACGGCCACACAATCCAGTACGACCAATTGGATTTTGTGGCAGGCCATCCTTTATTTGATATTCGCCATGGAAAGAAACACGATTCACAATGTCGTCATTGTGATTCCAGTGGGGTTGGTTCTTTTCGCTTGGCAACGGTTCATCCGCCCAGCTCTGTCCACCAATGTGTCCAGCTGTGTAGCACGGCGGGCTGTATCCCTCATAGTTGACTGTCCAAAAGACAAACTTATCCGGCACCGGGTAGCGCGTTACATTGCTACGTGGATACACACTGTTGCGGCAAGTAATGTGTCGAAATACTCCGGGTCTTACAAGTCCCACAAGCATATTCTGTATGGTTTGGACGTGGGCAATTTGGAAAACAATCAGCAGCAACACACTTGGAACTAAAGTAGTGTTCATTGGTGAAAACGGTGAGTTCAATACGCTAACTCCAAACAAACACAACAATAGTCGAAATCAGCTGATAACCAGGGCTGACACAGTTCTCCACAAAAATACAACAATTTAATTTTAAACATTATTACACAAAATATGTGTAGTTCATTTGTATATCCATTCATTAATAATTATTTTTACAAACAAAACTTATGCCTCTTAATACCTGTTTAGATGAGTTCATAAGCCTTGAATGCAGTTCGATAGATTTGCTCATTGCTCGGCCTCGCAATTATTTTCAAAATTAAGCATTTTATATATATTAGTTCTGCATCAAAAGCTCAAAATATGTCAAGCAGAAAGAAGAATTTCAAATAAGAATATAAAATACATATTAGTATTCATTTTATTTCAGGTTCGATAATATAAACGAAATTTTTCCCTCATTTATCTTGTAGATCTGTTTTATTTAAGAAGCTACAATTTCAAGTCGAACATAATCTGAATGTAAATTTAATTATCCCTTGACCTTAAGTATTTTTTAATCCTTGCGCAATTGTAGGGTCTTCTGCTCAATACCATCCTTTGTGATGATGTTTATGAGCACTGAATCACCAGTGTAAATATCACGCTCAGCAGCCGAAATGAAAGTGTCGGAGGCGACAGAAACGGCTCGATCCTTGGTCAGTGGCGGCAGCTGATCGGCCGCCAAGTTTTGATTCTTGTAACCAATCTGATTATCCAGCACCGGTTGCAGTAAGGATCCGGCAGTACCGCCAGCACGATACGTGGCCCGTTCGCAATGACCAATTGGATCGTACGAATAGACGACACCCTTTCCATCCTTGTCCAAACCGGCCAAAATATTCGACACATAGTAGGGGAAAAAGCGACGATTGTACATGACAATGGAGAGCATCTGGGCGACAGCATCCGTTGTCATTGTCTTCATGTGTGTGTGCTCGTACATCTGCATGCGCACCTTCATCAGGCCAGTCAGCGACAGGGTGTCGCACCAGCAGCCCGTGGAGCCCAGCACCGTGTGTGGTGACAGTTTGAAGAGTTTGCTCTGGTCGCGCGAATGGATACTGTAGCCACTGCTCAGGCGTGTATCGGCGGCAATGACCACAAAGTCCTCACCAGCAATGGCAACAATCGAGCTGCAAAGATAAAATTAAGTGTTGTTCATCAATTTCTTGCAATATTCGACTTATTTTGTGTGCTTACCCGCCGTTGGACTCGTATGGTGAAAAGTCTACATGTTGCACTCCGGGTACTTTATAGTCCGGAAATTGTTCAACGCCGAGAGCATTCATTCTTTTAGTTTATTTAATTTTTACAAGACAAAAAAAAGGCAGCCTGAAATGATTTGCAAGTTTTCGTCTAGCGGCGTTTCACACACAATTAGAGATGTCACGAAGAAACAATTATAGCTATCGATATTTCCAAAGCAACTCTGTACGTTCCGATATATAGATTTATTATTATTGAAGGCAATAACATCGATAGTTTGAGATCAATTTAAATAAATAAAAAGCAATGGAACCGTTTATTTAAACAAAATTAACAATCTTTGGGGCGAAATTGATGATGATGTACATTTAGTTTTAGGCCGCTGGTTCCACTCCGACTATGCGCTCCCTACGTAGTTGGCCGCGGTTCTTTTGCACAACCTCCTTGACATCGTAAAACCATTTTCCTACAAAAAGATACATTTTTGTTGAACAATCTTTGTTTATGTTTTAGCCGTAGTAAATGTGGCATTACCAATGTTTGTGTCCTGCAGGCAATCCTTAAATGTCTGACATCCTTCCATGCTGCTCAAGACGCCGAACACTGCAAGATCCGACAAACCTGGCTGCTTACCGCCCATGAATTTCGTGTTGCGTTTCTTGAGATCCGTCGTCCACTTGTGCAGTGCATCATACATGTGAGATCGGACATCGTCGGTGAGATTATGTCTTCGCTTCAGCATCTTCGCTATCAGCCACATGGCGGTCGCACCACAGTACACCATCAGGTTGCGCTCCCACTTGGGAAAGTAGACATCCCACTCGCCCTCCTTGGAGAACCACTCAAAGGTCTCCAGCGACTCGGCGAGTGTCTGATAACAGTTCGGTGATATCAGATGCACCAGGTGGCTGTCAGCCCAGGTTCTCCACTTGCGTTCATTTCTGTAAAGAGTTGGAGGAGACTAAGTACATATTGTATATTGAAAGAGGAACATCAATAATTTACTCCTCGATTTCCTTAGTCATGTTTTTGGGTGTGTGATCCTGATACATGAGGAAGTATTTGTTCATTATGTCCAGTCGCTTCTTGCCGTCATCGTCAAAGTAGGATATCTGCGGATAGAACTGCGCCAATTCGCCAACATCGGCGCGCTTGTCATTCAGGACAGTGGCGACGAGCGAGATGATGGCACTAGAATCTGTCATCTGTACATATTGTCCATCCTGCTGTCGGATTAGCACCATGGGCACCTTCTTAACCGATGACCAACGGATATCCTGGCGCAGAACTGCGTCCACCTCAACCACTGAATACGATACACCCATGTAATCGAGATAGGCACGAACCTTACAGCAAAACGGGCACGTCTGAAACTGAAAAAGCACAATATCCAAGCCGGATGTGTCCTTGGGATTAATGTAACGCTTCGTTATGCGCAAGCCGGCTGGCAAAGACTCGACGACATTTGGCGGTGTGCGTTCGTGCTCCTTGTGTGAATTCTGATCATTGATCCGGGTGTAGATGGTGTAGGTGGAGCCAGCGACGGCGCCAATGCATGCACCAAGCAGCGTCAACTTGAATGTTCCATTCGGTTTCTTTACTTTGCCGCCGCTGCTGCTGCTTTCGAGCACCGCATTTGCAAATTGTCGGCGCGCCAACGAAAGATTCGGGGTTCTTTTGGCAAGGAGTCGAAGGCTTTGATTGTTGACGGCATTGAGTGCAGTTGCCAAACGAAAACACGACATATTTTCAATAAATACTAATAGAAACGAATTATGCAAAGCCCGATTGCAGTCAGGAAAATCTCTTCTTCTTCTGTTTTTTTACGAACAAAGACAGCTGTTTTGTGCCCAGTTCACCCTGTGCGGTGCATACACAAAATTAATTGTACACAAACAAACATAGTTGTAAACATTTTCACAGCATACAGTTTTTCTCTGTGCAAAATAAAAATAAAAATGTCCACTGATAAAATGGGCGTTGCAGCTTCATTGGATAAATACGGAGAGGAAGACTTATTCAGTTTGCTAGTGCGTTATGGCCTCTTTATTGGGGCCATATTTCAGTTTGTTTGCATCTCGGCTGCTGTTTTGATGAGCGGCAACGAAACCGTCGACCCCATTGACGAGAGTTGTCTCATCGATGAGGCTGCACCGGGCACGGGAAATGCTGCACGCCGTCTGCACAAGATACGCAAGTTGGAGAAGAAGAAACGACGTTAGATGCCACACCTTCATAACAAGATATCCATAATGTATTCAAATATTTTCTAATTATTCTCTAAGTGTGTGTGTCTACTACTAGTCTTTATAATAAAACTATCTTATTTGGCTGTAAATATATCAGTTCCTTGTTGGGCAGCTGCAGCGGCGACTCCAACTGCAGGTCAATGTAAAGTTCCAGCTTAGAGTCTACTTTTACATTGCTGACCATGCTTGGAGCGACTATAATGTTGAATATGGCTTTGGGCTCTGCCTCAGTTTGGACGCGGGCCATGTGGGTGCCAAAGGATGCCGACATTGCCAGCACACGGACTTGCTGGCCAGAACTGATGCCGAGACGCTGGTTATGCGCCAGACTCCGTCGATCCATGCGCTCCTTGAGCATTAGTTTCTTATACTCATGAACATAGCCGCCTTTCACGCAACGCTTCTTCCTCATCTGGGTTAAGGCGACTTTTGTGGCACTCCTGGGCGTCTTCTGTGTGTCAATCATTGTTTCCAGATTGGCTTCAATTGAGCAATCTAGTAGCGTGGACTGATGGCTGCAGTTTGACATTGATGTCTGCAGCAATCCTCGTTGCTCCTGCTTCAGTGCTGCCAGTGTTTTTCTAAAGCTGTTCCATGCAGCTGGCGTGGACTTGGAATACTCAGTTGGCTCCAATGCACAACCAGGCATTGGTGGAGTTGGAGACGGCGACTTGGCACTAACTGACAGCGATAATGGCTGGAACTTGTTTTGTGGTGTCAGCTGGAGCGGTTTTTGACTGCTGCTGCAACGCTTAAGATTTTTCAGCCACATTTTATTCTCCTGCTCCGCCAACTGTTCGTCATCGCTGCTCGAGCCGGAAATGTTCAGTTCGACATTGATGGCTTCTCTGCGTCGCTTTCGCATATATTTCCTTTGCACAAAGGAGATGCTTGCACATGCCTCAATGCTGCTGCTGCTGCTACTGTCCTCAAAAATCACATCTGCCGTTTTGCGAAATCTTTTGTGCATAATATAAGACACAATTACTAGTTGATTTCTCAGCGCCGTAATTCAAAGTCAGCTGTTCTGAACCAGGGCTACGGCAATAGTAAACCATGTTTACTTTCCGTTCGAATACCCTGGTATTTTGAGGAGATTGAAAAAGACATTTTCAAAAAAAATTGTATTGTATTTCCCAGTGAAAATACGGTATTTTTGTCTACTTTGATGAATGAATACAAAAAGGGATATTAATGTATGAATGTTGAAATATTAAATACATTCGACTGCTGATGCATCTTCTTAACATCAAATTTGCAAGTGTTTCTGCAGCCCTGCAGCTGGCACATGACTCAGGAGCCTAAGACAACGTCTGCTGCGGTGGTGGCATGCACGTCTTAACAATTTGCCACACCGCAACAGCCGCGCCGCACCCACAACCCATAACCCTGTTTCCCAATGAGAATGACACATATTGGATGGAATTTTTGTTTGGCTGTTATCTTTAATTTTGGGAATAATATAAATTATAATAATCATATATTTATTATGCTCCTCGTAATGTTGTTGTTTTACTTCCCTTTTTGTTTACTATGTACGTATGGATGTGTTGTTTGTTTGGGAGTGTGTGTGTTTGTGTGTGTGTGTGTGTGTGAGTGTGTGGTGTGTGTTGAATGCTCTTCTTTTTAATTATAACTATAGTTATTATGCAGTATTCTGAATGAAGTATCTTTTTGTTTTCGTTTTTTTCTTGTGTGTGAAATTACAATTGTTTTTTGTTTTGTTTTTCATTTCATACATAATTAATAATAATAATTTACCGTAATTGTTAATTTCGGAGCACATTTGAAATGTTTAATGTCTAAATTGTAAGTCAAAACTCATATTATCTTCATTGTCCTGGGGATAACCGTTTCAAAAACGCTCAATTTCAATACAACAACTATTTAAATACGCAATCGAAATACACAAACTCAAAAGAAAAAAAAAAGAAAAACCTTTTACGAAAAATTGTATGTAGTAAGGTAGGTGTAAATACATACATAGCTCTATCTCTATAAGCAAACGATCTCCAGACTGTGGAACCACACAACAACAACAACAATAACAGCAGCAACAACAACAACAAACTCGGAACAAACTATGAACAATTTAAAAGCGAACTGTATACGGAAGCTGGTTGAATCGAATATACACATGCATATCTCCGGAAAGGAAGAAAATAAAGTTGTTTTCTTTTAGTGTGTGTGTGTGTCTGTTTTTTTTTTTAGTTAAATTCTGCATTATCTGTTTTTGCTCCTTAAGCTATTACATACAATATATATATATATTATATATATACATATATTAGGTATATAATATAATTATGTGTGTGTATTTTTTGGTTGTTGTAACTACTTGTTTGTATTTTTGCTTTATCGTTATTTATCGTTATCCATTTTTGTTTTTGTTTTTCGCTTTTTTGTTTTTGTTGTTTGCTTTGTCTAAATTATTGTTTAGAGTTACTCACAAGTGCTGTCGTCATCGTCATCATCATCGTCATCGTCGTCGTCGTTTTAGTTTTAGTTTTCGTCTTGTGTCCCTACTAAATATTATGTGTAATGTGTATTGCAATTGCAATTGCAATTGCGATTGCTCAACACACTCTGTATGCATATCCTTTGTCCGTCTTCGTCCTCGTCGTCGTCGTCCTGCTATCGTCATCATCATAATCATCCTGCCATAGAGCAGCAAAGGCCTGCTACGTGTTCTCGTTCTTGCTTTCGTTCTCCTTCTCGTTGTCGCTCGTTGTCCCCTGGCTGCCCACTAAGCCTCGGGCAGCGGTTTCAGCTCCCTTATCTGCTTGATCAGATAGGCCTTCTCGTCGTTGAACTGCTCATCCTCGGATCGATCCGTATGGAAGCTGGTTAGGAAGTCGACCAGTTTCGTTTGATTGCGCAGCAGGATGTCCAGTATGGGTTTCGGTTTATTCGGATTCGCGACAAAAACTTTGAAGACATGAAACGCCTCGAATTGAATGTTACGTGATCGCTCCTTAAGCATGTTCATCATCAGCTTCAGGTTCTCCGGCTCTGATATATAGCGTGTCATCACGGTGAAATTATGCCTGTCCAGCAACAGTTCGCCGAGCAGCTTTAAACTCTGGCGCCGTGTCACATAGTTCTCAGAGTTGAGGAGACGCTGGTAATGCTGCGAGAAGAACTTGTCGTAGTTGACGTCCAAGAATTCGGCACACAGTAGCTTGTGGCGTGTCAGCAGCTCCTTGAACGTGGAGAAGGCATCGGAGGCGATGTCAAACGTTGACACTTCCACATAACGGAAGAACTTGAAGAACTCATCCGAATGCAATTGAATTTTCGCCAACGCCTCATATCGAGCACACTCTCGCAACATTGTGCCCGAATTAAGGGCAATCTCCGGATGCGCATCCTCATAGCCGGCCATCAGTGTAAACAATATTTCCGGCTTCGTGCATATGTATTCCACTGTTGGGGATCGTGTGCCAATCTGTCGGCGCAGCACATTATTAAATATGAGCGCCACATGCTTCTTACCCTCGAAATCGATGCGATGCAGATTCTGTATGAGTAGCAACAGCAAATTACTGTTATACAGCTCCTGCGACAGCTGGGCAACAACATAATCCGCTGGCGGTTCCGCATCACTGCTCCCATACAGCATATTCTTGATGGACACCAGATTTTTGCTAACATCCTCCTGTGCCTTCTCCACCTTGCGATCCCCGGCCTCCAGTGCGTTTATCGCCTCCTTCAGCGACTTGACCAACTCGGCTGGCGTCTTCTGTGATTTACCAAAAAGTGGCATTTTAATGCTTGCTGCTTGCTTTGCTGACTTTCTTGATGTGGTTGTTGTTGTTGCTGGTGTTGCTGCTGCTGTTGTTGTTTTCACAATTTGTGTTTGCTGTCGTTGCGTTCTCGTTTACTGTTGATTCGTTTGCTCAATTACTGGTTTGCAGACACACAAACAATGCTTGGCTTTATATATCACAGTATAAATAATATTCTATTATTATATATTATTTCGTCTTTTTTCCTCTTTCTCTTCTTCTTTTCTTTATGAAAAAAAAGAACGAATGCAAAACAGAAATGTTATTTAACATAACAGCGGCAATAACATTACCATTTGCTCAAATGTTACTCACAGCGAGCATTTATTAAGCCTTGGTAAAAAAGGCGCATATCTAGTTATCTTGTTCAGCGAACTCTCCACACATGCAATTTAACCAGCAGTTCTTATAAAGTTAAGATTTATATTTAAGCGGTCCCAATTTGAATTCAACACAGTATGGTTCTGCTACCGTATTAACATGGATGGCAGCACAACTATCGTAGGGTTGCAAGATATCAGTGCTGTACAATGCGAATATCCACTACAACAGTAAATATCGATATAAGCAAAGGAAGTTATCGATAGCAGAATATTTTCAATTTGAAATAGGGGTTTTTGAGACGTAGAGCAATTTAGAATAAAAACCGCTAGTAATAAAGTACAGATTTGAAATTACTCTGATGCCCCAGAAGCAAATAACTGTTACTCATCATATTCTTCATTATTTATTTCTCGCTGTCGAAATACACAACTTGAGGAGTTTAGTTTTAAATATCATTTTTATTTCTCCTTGAAGTATTTTTGATCCGTTTTCTTTTAAATAATATATTTATATATATATATGCTCTAAGCGTATTCAAACGCACAGATGTTATAGAAGTTACAGAAATATAGTATTTATATATATAGAAATATATTTTGAATGCACATTGTCTTTTGTCTGTTATTTTTGCGGGTAGATATTTGGATAAATTTGAAATATATATATATTTTCATATATATATATATATATATATATATATATATATATATATATATATATATATATATATATATATGTATTTGTTATGCACATCCATATTTATATGTTTTACATATGGCCCGCCCTAATGTCGACCCGCGTATATATGTATATGAAATGAATATTTATTTGGTTGTTTTTATTTCGAGTGAGTGTGAGTGAGTTTGTGTTGTGTGTATGTGTTTTACGTATAAAAGTAGTTTTTTAAAATCCATAAAATATCAGATAATAATTACAATTTGTTTGTGTATTTGTATATATGTATATGTCTAAAAAGCGTTTGCCACCAATTAATTTTTTGCTTCGTGTATTTTCAACATAAACTAAAGATTAAGTTGATTTAGTCTTTGCAACTAACATGCATATATATATATATATATATATATACACATATATATATAGCTATATATAGTATATATCTGTCGAGTAGTCAGTTAATAATATCTTTGGGCTTTGCTACTGTTTATAAGTTATGCCAAGTAGTACACACAGATCTTCGTTTCATTTTCATTTTCTTTTTTGTTGTTTTTGTTCATTTTTTTTTTATATTTATGTAGGTATTACGAGTACTAAAAACATGAAGAAAAGTCTAAACGTTGTAGATTGAGTTTTCAATTTGCATTTAACGCTTATCGTATTACATATATATATATATATATAATGTTGTACGCACATATATAAATTATATGTCTTGTATAAGTATTGGGTATACTAAAACACTTTACCGACTAGTATATATGTATGTAAAATATATATACATATATATACATTCATACATAAATATATATATATATGTATATGTATATGCATGTGCAGTATAATTACTTATTTTATTGGAGAATATTTCTAATGAAATATATATTATACCATTTTTGTGGTATATATATTTCAGGGTATAATATATATTTATATAATATAATGTATTTCATTCATTGCATGAAGGTCTTTTTACACCTTTCACTATGCACTTGCTAGATTTGTCTTTCAAATGTACGTATTCCTTATACAACGAAGCTCTAATTTTTAAATGGAGAAAAATAGGGATTCTGGTTTTGTGTTTTCACAATTCAAAGAACGAGATTAGAATCGAGAAATGCCTATAGAAATATTTTTGCTTTGCAACTCAGTTTGAAGCCTTTTCTTTTTGTTTTTTGTTTGTGTTCGTCCCTCGATATATCAATAGCGGATGCATCAAATTTATGTATGACTAGATGTATGTATAATCGCTACGGCTACTAAATACTACGATAGATATTTATATGTATGTGTGTGTATATAAGCATATACATATATATAGTTAATAATAATTAATTATAGTTGTAGTTGGTTGTTGTTGTTCTGCTTATTCTTTTGTTTTTGCTGTTGTTGTTGCCGTCTGTTCTTCGCTTCTTCGCTGGGCTTGAAGTTACGTTCATTTTATTGATTCTCCTGCTGGTTTTTTGTCCTCAGTCTTAGCTGAGGAGCTGCATCTCTGCTCTGGTCGCCTGGTTGTGGGGCATGTGGCGGCGTCCAGTTTTGGGGGGATGGTGGGAGCGATGTGGATTTTGATAATATCACTGTGGTTGCAGCTGCTGCTGCTGCTTGCGCTTGATAAAATTGGCCTCGGCATCCAGCCAAATGGCTGTGCCGCTGTTGTCCGGTTCACCGCTCCGCTGTGCGTCCATCCCCGTTCTTATCATTTACCTGTGCAACGCATTCGAGATCTGTTTGAGCGACTGTCCGACCTCGCCCACCAGCCGCTCATTGTCCTGGACATTCTTGCTGCCAGCGCTGCGCAAATGCTGCGATTGCGTCTCCACCCGTGTCACCAGCTCCCGGAAATGGAATTTCGAGTGCGGCGGCATCGATTCATTCTCCGCAAACACCACACACGAGTTCTGCAGTATGTTCAACTTGTCGCTGAGCTGCAGCCACTGTGAAGCGGATATGGCATTCACCGGATGCTTGAGCGATCCCTCGAGCAGCGTCACCAGCTCCAGTATGCTCTCGCGTGAGATTTGCGTCGAATTGATATTGTCGGCTCCAACGCCGCCCACATTGATGCCCGCTATTTTGGCAATGGGCGTGGCATATATGGTCAATTTGGTGGGCTTGTGCGGCACAGCTGGCTTATTCTGGCTGTTGGTGCCGGAGCTGCTCAGCTGCTTGCTGACGTTGGAATTGGCCGCATTGCTGTATTGTAACTGCTCGCTGCTGTACAGCGATTGCGTCAGGAGTTCTGCCGTTGCCGTTGAAGTTGTAGTTGTGGTTGCGTTGGTGGAGTTGCCTCCTCCTCCTTCTAATCCTCCCTCGGTAGGCTGCTGCTCCTCGTTGCTGCTGCTGTTGTTGCTGAGCTCGGCATCTGTGAAGAGTTGCGTTGAAAGAGATGTTTTTATTGTAGAGGTTGTGGATGAGGATGTGGTAGTTTTTGTTGTTGCTAGTTGCTTGGACAGTGCTGTTGTGCTTGCTGCTGCTGCTGCTGCTGCAGTGCTGCTAATTGGGGGCGGTGGTGGCGGTGCCGCTGGCGGCGGGTTATTGCCAAACAGTTTAGTGCTGACCGTGGTCAACGTTGGCTTTAGGCCATATTTGGGCGACAATTGTGCTGGTTGTGGTGCTGCTGTTGGCTGTTGGGCTTGAAGTGGGATTGTGGTGCTGGCATAATCACCGCCGGGCGGCTGCTGCTCCCACAGTTTCTTTAAACTATTAATACTACCTGTGCTGCGTCGCTTGCCGGCATCTGTGTGGCCAGTTTCGCCGCCGGATTCCGTTTCCGCATTATTGGAGGAATTGTTGCTCACATCGATTTTGATTTCAGTCTTTTGATTTGCGTTTGCTCCGGGGCTAAACTTTTTGCTATCCTCCTTGCGCGTGGTGTTGCAATTGGGCGAGGATTGTTGCTGTTGTTGTTGCTGCTGCTGCGGCGATGTTGGCTGCTGCTGTTGCGTTTGATCCTTGTCCACTTTGCGCAGATGCGCCTTAAAGTCAATTATGTTCGTGGACTGCTCGGCCTTTGGAATGGGCGCGTTCAGTTTCTTTGGCTCCACTTTCTTCAGTTGCGCCTTGAAGTTGTTGTTGTTGCTGTTGTTCGAATTGCTAATGCTATTGCTATTGCTATTGCTGTTGCTGTTGCTATTACCATTGGTTAGCTTGGTCTGCTTGGGCAGATTCATGCTCTCCGCCAGCTCGGTGAAGAGTTGAGCCACCGGATCGACAACGGGTGGCGGCGCTGTTGGCGGAGCAGCAGCACCATTGATGGACTCGGACGGCTTGCTGGCTGACTTGATCTCTGTGATGAGTTTCTCTTTGAGATTGAGACTCTTCTCGGACACTGGCGTTGGCCCTGGTGTCGGTCCTGGTGCCGCATCGGGTGGCGTGCCAAGTGAGCTACACGAGTCTGTGGAGGGTTCACGCTTGCGTAGCGAGACACCGAAGCGGGAGCTGGCTTCCTCGACGCTGGGAGCCGTATTGCTGACATCGTTGCTGCTGCTGTGCTGCGCATGCAGATGCTGCTGTATCGCCTGGACGGCGCTCTCGGGCGCTGGCGGCGGCGGTGGTGGCGGCAACGCCTCAAATTCCTCAAGTGGTGGCGGCGGAAACTCCAGATTGGCCAGTGCCGGCTGTGTGATGACGCCGCGCTTTGGTGAATTGCTGTTGCCCGTGGCACGAAACGAGGAGAAGGTCATCATGGCGCCCTCTGTGGTGGTGGGATGACGCCGCAACTTTCCCAGACTGGCTGCAGCATTGTTCTGCATGGTCACGCCACTGGACGAGTTGCTCCGTATCATTTGCTGAGGTGTTCCAGTCGTCGACGTTGCTGCTGCTGTTCCTGCTGCTGCCGACGGCGTCAGCGTTTTGCCGGTAGACGTGGGCACATTGGGCGGTGGAGCACGTGCTGGTGGTGTGGCATGGCCATTGGCGGCTGCCTCGCCACTGCTGCTGCTGCTGTCCTCCAAGCTATCGAGAAAGGCGCCAATGCGCGCCACCTTAGGCAAAGTGCCATAGCGATTGACGACCCGCTTCACATTCATCACCTCCAAAGCGCCCACAGTGATGGGATGAGCAGGCAGCACTGGTATCCCATTGCCATTGCCATTGGTAACATTAACATTGCCATTGCCTTGGTTGGGTTGCTCCCTATTTGGATGGTGCTGCGAACGTTTGCTCTGGCGCGTCTCTAAGCCGCGATTGCCCATCACCGGACGCTTGAAGGAGCTGTGCTGCTGGGAGGAACGCGGCCCAATGCCCGACGAGATGCCACCATGTAGCGAGTGCTGCATCTTGTTGGGCGGCGTGGCTGTCAAACTCTGCTCCAGACTATCTCCAGTGGCATCCGTGTCGGGATCAGCAGTCGGATCCGTTTCCGAATCATAGCGCTGCGTCAAATTGTTAATATCCCGTGTGAGACCTGCAAAAATGGAGATGCATCAAATGACTGGGCTGCAATTGGGATTAACATGCGCGTGCTGGGATTCGGGAGTAGCAGATTAGCGGGAGCTGAGAGTCTTAGTCGTGGCGACAAACCCATTTTGGCTCAATATTTGTCAACACCAAACAAAAGTTAAAGCACTACAAAACCAAAATGTTGATATAAACAGAAAACATAAAATAACAATAATAGAATAGAATAAATTTGAACATAGAATATAGAAAACACCAAAAGCTAAATGAAATTATGTAAAAATAATAAGTTGTATGGTATTTATTGTGGAATCTTTTGTTTCGGTTTCTGTTTAAATTATTTACAAGATTCCACTTATAAATGCCGATAGCAATTTAAAATTATAAAAATAATACCAAAAACATTCCAAAAACCATTTAAAAACTTAAATTTACATAGTTTTTATATAGGTTTTGAGAATGCAGAATACAAACACATTAAAAGCATAATAATAATGATAAATAAAAAATATTGAAATGTTTTTCCTTGTGCATCACAAACCAATAAAACGAAAACATAAATTGTAAATTGGAATTCTTACTCCATTGACAAATACCTCGAAATAGGATGTCGTAAAGGAAACTACTGCAGGAGGATGATTTCTTAATTGAATACGTTTGTTGTTGTTGTTGTTGTACTGGTTGCAATAACTGTTGTTTCTGTTGTTGGAGGAGTTGTTGTTGTTGTTGTGTACGTATTTGTGTCTGGGTTGGAATTTGGGTTTTAAAATTTCTACATAGGGTCTGGCTTAAAATGTTGTTGGAGTTGAAGTGGAAGTTTCTACAAGTAGTACTACCATTCGTGTTGAGCTCATCAATAAAGTTGCGTGCATCCTCCTCGCGATATGTGGAATCCCGGCTGCTGGAGAGCAAACTACGGAATAGAAGGACAGCGAGCAGCATGAATAGATTGTGACTGTAATGCATATAACAGGCGGGTGGTTTACCTGGTGCGCTTGGGCGGAGCTGGTGCCTGTTTGCCCTGCTTGTTGGTGGTGCGTCGCATCTGCACATTGCCCTTGCCCTGGCTGGAGAAGGTGCTCAGCTTGGTGGATGTGGAGCCGGTCTCTGCGGGTATTTGAGATCAGCAATGATTCGCAGCAATTGAGCGCTGTTGTGCAAAACATTTCACTCACCTGACATGGGCGTGCTGGCCAATTGCTGTTGCTGCTGCTGCGGATCGAGACTGGGCAGACTTTTCTTGACCATTTGTGGCGTCAGGCTAAGCGAGGCGGATGCTGTCGATGATGAGGCACTGGCCGTGGCTGCTGCGGCTACCGTCGCTGGTGCTATTCCCCCGCCCGTTGCTGACGTCGAACCGGAGCCGGCGCTGGCTGTGGCATTTAGCTGTTTCTCGACCGCTTCGGTGATGGACGATTCCTGCGGAGCGAAGAAGGAGAGACGTGCAGCACGTGGATCATTATTGCTATCACTACTGATGATTGCGAGACTTGAACATTGGGTGCGCTGGCATTCCATGAGCGATGGCGTGGCAGACGCCAATTGAAATCAAAGCTCAATGCCATTGTCGTCGTCATTGTCGTCATTGTCGCCATCGTAATCATCATCGATATCATCGACATCATCGTCCCACACCTCGAAATCGACACCGACACCGACACCGTCACCGTCACCCACCTGAAACATGTGCTCCAGCGCATGGTGTATGCTCTTGAATGTGGGCCGATCCGCCGCATCCCATTGCCAGCACTGTCGCATCAGATCGTACACCTCCGGCGGACAGCCGGGCGGCCGTTCCATGCGATAGCCCTTCTCGAGCTTATGGTACACATCGGTGAGATCAATGCCCGGATATGGCGACATCCCGTACGTCGCTATCTCCCACAGCAGCACCCCAAAGGCCCACACATCGGACTTGGTGCTGAACTTGTTGTACGCCAGTCCCTCGGGGGCGGTCCACTTGATGGGGAACTTGGCGCCCGCATGCGCCGTATATGTATCGTCGCGCATCAGACGCGCCAGCCCAAAATCAGCGACCTTGACCAGCTTGTTGTCACCCACCAAGCAGTTGCGCGCCGCCAGATCCCGATGGATATAGTTGCGAGACTCCAGATAGCTCATGCCCGACGCTATCTGTGTCGCCATATACAACAGGGCCACTGCGTCCAGTGTCTCTCTGCCGGCGGAGCGCAGAAAGTCAAGCAGATTGCCGTGCGACATGAACTCGGTGATGATATAGAAGGGCGGCTCACGGGTGCAGACACCTGAATGTGGGCGAAAGAGAAACGTAGTCAGACCATGATCTCCATTAAAAAACCAATTTGTAAATATAAATTCTCTCATCCACATAGCTAAAGGCAAAATTTCACTTTAAAAAAAAGATTATTCAATTTATGCCCGGGTCGAGTTGTAGATGAGAAAACGTAATTTGTGTTCAATGTTCCCACCGATAAGCTGTACAAGATTTGGATGCTTCATCTCTTTCATGATGGCCGCCTCTTCGAGGAAGTCCTTCAGTGCCATGGTGTCCTCTTTCAGTGTCTTGACAGCGACTGTGTTGCCATAGCGCTTCCATACGGCCTCATAGACCTCGCCATACTGTCCGCCGCCCAGTTTGTGCTTCATCATGATGTCCGTGCGGCAGATCTCCCACTCATCCGGTTCGGGACTGAGTGGAAAGACTGTCGGTTTGTTCTGTTTGGGCGCCGGATAGAGTAGCGGCGTAATCAGACCGTGACCCTCATGCGGCACACTATGATGATGCACTAGCTCGGCGAGCGTATTAAATTTGGCTTCGGGCGTCACAAAGACCTTGCCATCGGGATCCTCTGAGATGCGATAGTGATAGACGCGACCCTCGTATCTGAATGGGATTGGAGATTAGTTCGAGTTGTAAAATACGAATAGAAATGTATAGGCTACCTCAAGCTGATGCTGCGCTGACCGGGCGAACTCTCGCTCTCGCGGACCAGAAAACTGCCATTGATGCCGGAGCTGAGTAGATATTCGGCGGCATTGCGAGAGATGGGCCCGTGGTACCAGGAGTGCTTCTCCAGCGAATTCAGCGGTGTCACATAGTTGGAGGGCACCCAGCCCACATTGCCGGAATCGGAATGAGCCTCGCACCACTCACCAGATTTGTTGTAGCTCAGGATGCGCACTTGTTCGCCCTTCTTGAGGCTCAGCTGATTCTCGCCGCCCGCTTGGAAATCGTACAGGGCCACAAATAGCTGCGGGTCATCCTCTTCGGGGCCAGGCGCCAACAGATTCTCCTTTGAGGTCCAACGATGCGCCGACTCAAATACGGATGTCGCCGAACTGTGACCCAGTGAGGCGAGCACATTACCGGGTGAATCTTGGCCCTGCAGCTCGGCCGCATCGGCGAGCAGCGTGGCCGCTGTGCTCCCGGCCGGAATGTGTGGCAATGGACGCGATTGCAGCAGCGCCTCTGCAACGGTAGAGCAAGGGGTAAGTGAACGACGTTGTTGTTGTTGTTTTTGTTGTTAACACACAATCTGCCTGCCTGGTCACGAAACAATGCGCACTGAACGATCGCATTGCTCTCATCAAGGTAAACCCGTTTCTCTCACACAGGAATGCGGGCAATTTGTGGAGCCCAACGGGGGCAGGCCCCTCGCTTGAAACTCTCTTTCATTGAAAAAATTAAATTATGCATAGAAAAAAATACAAAAAAGAAAAATGGAAAAACAAAAAAAAAAACGGCATAAAATTACAGCAAACCAAGTTGCCCAGGTACAGAAACGACGATGGAATAGCTTCCCAGTTCGGGATTGATTGTGGGAAGTTCTAACTGATTTCAGTAACAAGCCTAACACTCTGTGTGTGTGTGTGTGTATGTATATATATGTGTGTGTGTGTGTGTGTGTGTATCTGGTATCTGTGTTTGTATCTGTATCTGTCGGATGCGGCGACACCGCTCTGTATGAGACACTTATTTACCCTTGCTGAAAGTATTTCAGCTTTGAAATAAACTCTGCAATTGTTCATTCATTTATGTGGCAATAGTACACTGCGAGAAATGTGCTGTTCTTAGCTCAAGTGTTAACGGGATAAAGATTCTATTCAGAATTAGTACTCTGTTATGCTTAAGTAAGCATAAATAATTCTTGACTTTCAAATTTTAACCATAACTTTGAAATTCTTTGATCAATAAGCTGCCAGAGGCATTTATTTAAGTGGGTGAAGATACTCCCAGATATATATATATATTCATTATATAAGACATAATTGCAATAACGAACCCAATTTAAACCGTGACGAGTTTTGTTCGCAGTTGTGTTGTCTAGAGTATTTCATCTTCAGAGTTTATCCGCAATGATCTTCTCCATTTGACGGCCTCACACACAAATAATTGAGAAATGCACATTTACAACGGTACTTTTTCATTTTTTTTTTGTATTTTTCATTAAGCAGCCACTTCCGTTGGCACTCAGATTCTGGGTGAGCGGACACCGCATCGCGTTGCCCCCACTGCCTTATGCCCCCAATCCACCACTTAGACTTGGGCACATGACGCTTTTCCCCACTTTTTCCATAGAGCAGCACATTTTCGGATTTGAGAGAGTCGCTTGAAATTAGTCTTTGAATGTGGGTGCGCTGCGATTTCGAAAGTCATAAAACCCAAATAATAAAGCATAATAAACATATTTGAGAAGGGTTCCCATTCCCAGTCCCATTCCCAATCCCAATCACAATCCCATTCCCGTTCCCGTTCCCAGTTTGCCTGGCCGTTTCAATTGCCTGTCGCTCATCGCATATTGTTAATTTATGCGCGCGAGACAGGAAATATTAATAGCAATAGGTAGTTGGATAGATATATATGTTGATAGAGGGTGAGGCAGAGGAAGGGGAAGAGTGAGAGAGGGAGGGACAGAGAGAGAGAGCGGAAGCTTAGACCTCATCCTCCTCTAGGGTTGCCTAACATGGTGGTCGTCCAATGGTGGCCAATGCATTCGAGATTAACCTGCGACGACAGACCCGTGACCAGATGGTCAAATAATTATGCATGTACGATTCAAATGGGAACGATGACTCACAAGTACTACTCAAATGGATTTGGCTGGATGATGTGGGTTTGTTTCTGCATTGTTTTACATTCTGTATATTCAACGCACATTCAGCGTACTTTTTATACGAGAATCTCTGACGTTGAGTCAGATTTGCATTTCGCAGAACCAGCAGGCATTAATAGGAATAACATTTATTTTTCGCCTTAATATGTGTGCATTTATTGAGTGGGCAATATTGTAAAAACAATTAAAGTTAATAATTGAGTTTTTATAATCGTCGACGTCTCCGAACTCACAAGCTATATATATATATATTCTTGATCTAAGCCAAGTCGATATGGACATGCCTGTCTGTCTGCTTCTATGCGAACTAGTCCATCAAGTTCAAAGATGATAAATTTGTATTTTAACTGCAGCAGGCACATATGTCGAAGCCAGCCAGATTATTCCACTACATCATATAGCTGCCATAGGAACCACAGTTGTGTTGTTAGAAATTATATTCAAAGCGTATCTAACATTTGGCGTGCCTCAAATAAACGTTCTTTCTTGTTTTCAACTTAATCAGATTTTTTTATTACTTAAGAATTCTTTGATTTTAAATGGCGAAAATGTGATGGGGTGAACTTTTTTCTCTGCATTTTTTCTTCCACTTAAAAAGCGACAAAAAATAAAGAAAGAAAGAAAGAAAGAAAGGAAAAGAAGTTGACCACTGTGGTGATTATCATGCATTATATCAATAGATTCATTCTATAATTATTAACAATGACACTACGTTTAAATTGTTGTTACCTAAATTCATGTGATATTTGCCGGGATGGCCGCGAAAAGAGCTGTGCTTGGTACCTGTAGAAAGAGACGAGAGTGAGAAAAAGGCACGTACTGTGGTCACAAACTTTGCAAGTCTTGCATCAAAATATGTTTGTTGAATATATTTGTGTTTTTTTTTGTGGGCTTTTTTTTACAATGACTTGGATGGATGATAATGATGGGGCCCCCTTAAAAAATAACTATATATATATACAGTATAGAAGCAAGCTAAAAATATGTACATAAAATCTATTTACAGTTAGTTGAATGACATCAAAGCGGATTCTTCGCATAGAAATAAGAAATACTTAGTTACACAGACAGTCAAAGCCAAAGCAAAAGCCAAAGCCAGAGGCCAATTAGAGAGCCACAACATAACAAGCTGACAACAACAATAATAATAACAAAGTCATGTTAAATGCTGTAATCTTGAGTGGGGCATGAAAATAAGAAATGTATCTGAACGGAAGATGCCAGGCAATTTTTTTGAGCCAGCGATATTACATGGCCATGCCCCCCATTTGACAAAATAGTTGCTGCGGGTCGCCGGTCGCCCCGCCATCAAATGCGATTTAAAGTTGGCTGCTGGAATTGGGGCCAACGAACTTTGACGAGTTTCAAGTCTCCGGATCTTCGCCACTAAAGTCGGATACATGCGTCAAGCTACTTGTGGTAGGCACTGTGTGCGGGTTATTAGCGGGAATTGGAGCACAAGCCACAAGCTGAGATTTTGTGTTTAATGACGCACAGCTAATCATAGCAATGATAAAGCAGGAGATGCCAGCGCAGGGCTGAGTGGGGTGCAGCAGCAGCTTATCTCCCATCAAGCCTGGACAAGTAGTAAATATGCAAACTGCAGCGGAAAATTTAGCGCCGCCATTGGCTTGAGATACACACAGAGAAATAAATTAGAATGGTGTCGTCGAGATACCGTGACTAGTAATAGTAAATACCCTTAAGTCAGGTGTTAAATACTTAAGATTTTTATGTAACAATTTAAGTTCACATTTTTTATTACGATTTGTACTAGATTGTCTTCAAGGAGATATAAAATTCTTGACGCGAGTATGAAAATTTCATGCACAAATTTCTGTATATTTTTCTGTGTAGGGGTTGGTTACAGAACGAACTTGAATCGATAAGCAGCAAGCACAAGAAACAATATGTATTATCTTTTGTTATTATCTTATAAATCTTATGCAAACACTTAAGTTTTAGCTATTTTAAGTCACGTCTTTGCCTTTGTTTGGCTTTCGATTTGTCCTTCTTTGGCTTGCATTAAATTTGATGTATTTGCTATTTATTACAACCCGTTCCCCCCTCCATGCATCGATTACCATTGCGAGTTTCTCTTTTGTTGCGCTGTCAACTTAAATGCGATTCGATGTGTGATTTATTGTAATGCAAGCGCAAAGAAAATGTCTGTAAACATCATTCATTCAATGCATTGCTTTGCATTGCATTGAATTGCGTTGAGTTTCATTCAATAATTCACTCAAGACAGGCACTCAAGTTAGTCCATTAGTCACATTGTCATTCATTCATTAGCTGCTTCACAGTTCATTCATTCGCTTGCATTTCTGGCCCTTTTATTTCTCTCCTTCATTTTGTTATTTCTTTTTTGTCTCATTTGCAGCTTTTGCATTTGATCACGTTTTAGCTGCTTTAGTTTCCCAATGGTTTTCTACTTTTTTCCTTTTATGCGTTTTGCAATTGCAGCTTTTTCCGCCCCCGCCCCCGAACCCGCACCCGCATAGTTAGCCCAAGGGCTTTCAGGTCATGCCCCCATTGGACCTGGGTTCGTTCTCAGGTCTGGGTCTAGGCACTCGCCTTTGGCTGGCTTCGTCCAATTGCTTGTCCGATTTCATATCCCGCCCAGTCAGCAGTTAACAAGGTAGTCAGGTGGTCAGGTAGCCAGTCACTCACTCATTCAGTTAGCCAGCCAACAACACTCGTAAACTTTTACGGGTTACATTTAATTAGTCATTTCTCTGGCTTCCCGTTTTTGCAAATATGAAAAACAACCAACTAACCAACGAAGTGTTGGTCTGATTTAGTTCCCTGGGGTCAACTTTATTAAAGCCATGTCGTCAAATTGTTTGCAAACAAGCTGAACTTTATTTTGGTTACTGCATATTTCGTTCACAACATCCGACAAACCAATTAGAGCTTTCTGTCGGGAGTGCTCGACAGGGAGAATCAAGTTAAGTAATTAGCTCAATATAAAAAATACTTAATCAGGTCTGATCTTAATAATATGTGTGGGTGTATTATATATCAGTTTGAAGACTATATCACTGTAATTATGTCCTTTATTGCTATCGAAAATCGATTTGTATCGATATTCGTGAAACGGCGGTAGTTATCGATGGACTAAAATGCGTAAGGTATACGTAAACTTATTTTAATATTATAAAAAGCTGTTATAGTCTCTAAAATTCATTTGTTCATAAATATCAAGAACTTATATATTCTATATGCTGTTATTTACCCTTCACATACTTTGCACAACTTCAATATACCCTATTTGCCATTTTTAATGGACTCAGGGTCCAAACACAGAAAACCTTCCAACTATCTCAATTAATTTAATAGCCTCAGCAATTTTTTCGTTTGGCAAGTATCCCTTGTTAGTTCTCAAGTACGCGACAAAAAAGTAATGCAAATTTTGTACAACGCAATTACATATATTAATGTGTATCCTTAGGTAAGGACCATATGGTTATCTAGTCAGCGTATCCAAGGCAAACATTAAACATATTGCTCCGCTTGGCTCATTATTTAGTTTGACATCGCATGCTTGAAGTAAACTGACACTTTGACATAATGTGTAGTCTGTAAAAGAATTTAAGTTTGCCGGGCATTTACATATGTATTTTTTATGGATGTGTAGTCAAAGGTGCAACAAAGGGAACCTCCCATGGATTCTTGACAGTTCTTTAGTTCCAGAGAGCGGCTGCCGCAAAAACCAACAAAGTGCGAAAAAAAACTACAGCAAAGCGAGAAATGTGAAATACACGCAGAAAAAAAGCATGCACTGAAATATGCTGGTTACGGAAAGAGAAGTAAAAATTGAAATAAATGCGAAAGAGAGAGAAGATGACAGAAACAATGGAAAGCATTTCAATGGACAGGGACGAGTTAGCAGTCAGAGCATTGGCAATGGGAATGGGAATGGGTATTTGGGGTGAGGGGAGTTACAGCAAAAGTCTCGTATCCCTGCACTTGGTAAATCCACCCTTGGCAGACGCGACTCTTCTGTGACTCTGACTCCGAGTCGGCGACTTGGTGAGCCGCTGGCAATTTTTACCACTTTTGTAAGGATTCCACTCAAGGCTAGTACCGTTGCTGTTGCCGTTGCCTTTGCCGGTCCGTGTCCGTCTCGTCAAATACGCATATCATGGTCGATGGGAATGATGGGGGAAATGGTGACGTTTTTGCCCTGTGACGCAGCGCTGCAGGCGTGCGTCAAGCGATGCCACGCCTCCGCATCCAACTCCCAACCCCTTTTTTTTTCTTCTTTACGTACACATATGTTGTGTACAGCAGATGAAAATCAAGTGAGTGCAATAAATACATGCATACGTACATATATTCAACAGCCAACGCACAAAATAAAATCAATAATGGGAAAAGCTCCACACTCAGAAAAAAAGCATATATATGCTGTAGAACTTGGAAAATCATTTAATATTAAAATCATTTTTCTTAGTTACTTAAAACAAATAATAACGATTCCTTTTCAAATTGATGTTACTCATTTCTATCAGGAAATAAATGAAAAATCATTTCCTAGTTTTTGTCATTCTTCTGTAAGACAAGCTAACACATTTGTTTTTTCGAGTGCAGTCAGCGACTCCTATTCAGACTCAGTGTCGTGTACTTGGTTTGACAAAAGCAGCGCCATTATTATTTATCTCATCATTTCGAGCAAATTAATTGAATGTCACCAGCACAGCACAGCAGCAGCAGTAGCAGCAACCACAGCAGCAAGAACTGAGGGCACTAGAAATTACATAGAGGGGAGGTGGTTTTATCGATTGCTTTTTGGGTATTCATGCTGGTCGAGGTTGTTACTTTCCCGACTGCCACTTAAAATTGTGCAGCAGCAACAGCAACAACGACAAGAGTAGCTTTGCCAGCGTGTCCTTGCTGTCCTTGTTGGCGGCATTGAAATGGCAGCTGAATAGAGTTCACAATCTTCCTAATTACACTTTCATGCACTCGAAAAAACCATTGATGCAAGTATGAAAAGAGATACAGTGACGTCAACATACAAATACATATAAACACATTTATATGTATATGTATATATATAGATATGTATGCATATCTATGTACATAGGCACCTATTCATATCAACTATCCAAGCTAGTTTAAAGGTCACTTTAGCAAGCCCTTAAGCTGTGACCCGAATGCTATTGGATCGATACAACATAAAGGTCATTTTATCTGCTCTGGCTGAACATTGCTCTTATATATTAGTTATAGATCAAGATATTGTAGTAATCTTTAATAAACCGTTTTAAAAAGTGGGATTGTTTTTTAATAAGTTATCTTAAAGTTAGATCTAAGTGTGTAGCCACATTTTTTTATAGTTCCCACTACACCACTCACGGCACACCTGTGTCGTGTTTACAAAAAGACTAAAACGTGCCGAGGGACACCCCATCCTTTTACAAATGGTTGTCATATTTTGGCGCAGGTCAAGGTGATGGCCACAGAGAGAGGCCCAAGTATTTATCCACCATCCTCACACCCATCATAATCCCCATTTCCATTGCCAACTGCTGCAGTCATCACGTGTGTGTCTGATGGTCAAAATACCACCTTGCCATCCACATTTGTTTGTGAATGAAATTGGCTTTTAATTGTGGACTTGGCAGACGGCCGCCAGCAGAACAAAAAAAAATACAAGAATGCTGTCAAGAGAGCTTGACTGAAAGATACTCTGTACCTGGAAGTCTTACAGAGATTAGTTCGTTCAATAAGAGAATACGCTTTGCTATCGTTTTATAATTATTGTTTCTCTGTTG